GGAATTCACAGATCTATCTGTGTCTGTTAGAGATTGTTATAGTCTTTGTCAGGACCAAGCAAGATTGGGTGCCTGTGCAATCCAGAATGCCTGCAGCTCAGCTGAATCCTTGGGGGTGTGCGTCACTTGTGCAGCCTGAGGAAGAGCAGATCAGTCTTGGCCCAAGCAACGCAGCATTTCAATGGTGTCCTGGAATAGAATCTTTTAATCTTTGACTAAACCTCCAGGAAAAGCCGCCGGGAAAGGCTGGGAAACTGTCGCTCGTATTTCTCGCAGTCACCTGCGACTGCAGGAAGCTACTTGGTTCGACACCTCTGTCAATCAGCAGGATTATTTTGGACGTCCAAGGTCCTACACTCGGACATGACACTTGATGCATTGCCTGAGTTATATAGCTTAATGCCTACAAGATGGGCAATTCCAGGGCGCCATCTCCTGCTTCTTCCCAATTCTACCTGGAGTGGAGCGAGGTGAAGAGGACATATGTTTGCTTGTGCCATATTGTCCAATTGACTTTCATCACAAGTCGAAAGCTGTCAGGTTTGGCAAGTTGTTAACCCAAGGACTGCTGAATGGAGCTGCGGACCGCCAGGCTGTACGGCGAACACCTCGTTGAAGGCGACACTAAGTTGCACAACTATTTTGTTCTTATTTGAAGAGGTGTTGCCTCTTACTGTTGACGAGAGGCATTTGAGAATGGCAAAATGCAGTACGAGAGGCCAGAAACCTAGAAAACAAATCATTAGTGCGAGCGTGAGCTATCCTGCGTCCTACCCAGGAGCTTCCTGTACCTAGTAGCTTACTAGTCCCTTACTTAATTAAGTAGGCGCCTACTTAACTAAGTAGGGGCGGAGCGGGGCAAACAAACAGAGAAGAAAGGTGAGGATGCAGTCAGTACTTGCAATTCATGGAGGTGTACCCTGTCAGTGATGGTCAACCCTACAGACTTCGATGATGAGCTGGCTCCTGAGAACGAGGGCGGTTTCCCTTTGAACTTTTAAGTTTCAGACCTGCAGGTACAATATCGAAAAGATTGAGTGGATAGTCATCAACGGGAAAGAGGTCAATGTTATGCATCATTAGCCATTCCGACTGTGAATGAATGTCCCAACCAACGTATGGTCGAGGCAGTGCGAGACTTCAGTCCTCGTGCTCCCAAAGGTGGCCCTTTTTGGGATTGTCCTTTGCATCCTCTCCGTATAGAAGTCTAGCTCAGCTCTTTTTGAATCACGGATTTACTTCTTTGGACAAAAGCAGGTTGTGAGACCAACGAGCAAATGGGAGCTCTCGACTCTGACCTGGAAGTTCCCTTAGATGATCCCTCCCTACTTTCGAGAGTTGGATCCTTGGTTTGGCAGCAGATAGAAGCTCCGTGCTTTCATTTTTTCAAGCAGGCGCTGCCAGTGATGCAAGTGTTGTTCCTTATGCCGGTGCTGTTGGAAGGACATCCAGAAGAGACGAAATAAGTCCTCAAGCTGGATGCTTGACAAAGCAGCGGTGGGGTGACAATGATTGTACAATGATTGTATCGAGACCAAGGTACCGGGCCGAGAAAGAAGCGCAACATCACCGATCTCCCTCTCTATCCGCGCCTTGTCTCGGTTTGCCGCTTTGCGGTAAGACAGTGACTAGCTTTGCCTGCAGCCCAGGTGCATTCGTGACCTTCCACTGGAGGTTAGCTAGCATCTAGCTGTTTTAGCTGTGGCTTGGTTGGTTTGAATGTTCGCAAGATTTTCTTCAGGGCCTGGTTGGCACGGATGGGCATGTGAACGTCTCTGGCAATGCGCTCAGCAACACGACCAGACGCAGACAAAAACCAAAGCCAGTCCTGGCACAAAGGAAAGATCTCGCCGGCTGTGGATGAATGCCCTGTGAATGGCAACCACCTGAGGCAATGCATTGCAAGTCTCCTGCATCGCATGGTTGTTTTTCTATTTTTTTTTGCATCAGTTGCTTGTGACAGTGGGCTTGTGGTGATGACCTGCTTCGCTCGTTCAACCACCACTATTCCTCCGTCGACAACGACCACTACCACCTTCAAGGCAGAGAAAGTCAACTGCGTTTGGCTTGGAGTTTACAAGCCTTGCTTTTTGTGTGTCAAAGCATTGCATGTCCGGTTTGTTTCAGATGAATCTGAAAGATAGGTCATTGACCCTGGTTTTGGCAGACCTTTTTCGCTACAGGCACCTGAGCAGGTTCAAGAAGAGTTCAAGACGAGCGATTCTGCCCGCTTTAGGTGCAAGGCCAGCATTGGTGTGTGTATGTGTGGGGTAGAAATTCAACTGGTAGACGCTCTTTGAGTCATTGTGACTTGCTGTCTTTCCCCCTACAGGATCCAGGTTGCAGTGCAGCCACAGTCTTGTCTGTGGACTTGTACAATTTGACTTCGCGAAAATGTTTTTTGACAGTGAGGCTCGATGGTTTGGGGAAAACTAATCATTCTGATTGTTTCAGCTTCTTTGTCTGCAGGGTCAACCAAACAGACTTTGACGAGCTTGATGGCACCAAGGAAAGAATTGAGTCAGTCAAGGCTAGATTCTTGCTCAGTTCGAGAGAGAGAGGTACTGGAAGAGCCAAGAACTTGAGGTGAACAACAAAATCAAGGCTGCCGACTTGAAGCCTGGGAAGAACCCTTGCCATGAGGTCGGAAGCGTACTTGAGGAGCACTCGGTATCATTGAGCACCCTAAACTACGACAACTGTCGGGACAAGACGATACGCCAGAATGAGGCCATAGACACTGGCCGTGGTCGCCGCAACAATGAGGAAGCAACTGTGATTGACAAAGAGGACACTGCGTCCAATTCATTGTTCCGGCATGTTCTGCAAAACATATGACGATTGTTAGAAAAGTTCAGGATGTTACAAACGACATACATACTGGGCTGCTGGTCCTTGAGCTCAAGATTACAGACATGGTGGGGGTCTCATAGTTTTGCTGGTTGGCGTGCTCTAGTGACCCTAGTGGCCTAAGAAAGACCAAGGTTGATGAATGCGCTGTAGATGGGTATCTTCTTGATGGCGAAGCCAGTGTGTCTTGTGAGGGATAGATAGTAGATTGAGTAGATGGACATTTCTAGGAGATGCAAAAGGAAAAATGTTGGGTTTTGGATTACAAACAATGGTTTGGAGCGACTTGAGCAGGTGCATGGCATAAAATTGGACAACTTGACCATATAGGCTCAAGCTGAAATGCCTGTGCTTTGGCACCGCAAAGTGCCTGGAATACCTTGTTGCAGCCGTTAAGCCAAGGCTTGATCCGAGTTGCCTGACACACTGAGAACCCTCAAAGGCCAGACCTGTCCCAAAATTTCGATCTGTCAGGCTCCTGAGGAGCTGCTCTTTGGCCCAACCCTCGCAGTGGAGATGAGGTGAGATGAACTGCCAATGCTCTCTTCCTACAAAGGTCATGTCGCTGTTTTGCTGCGATGGCGGGGGACCTTGTGCGCAAAGTTCGCGGATGAGGCCCACCAAGTCATTCATACTGTGGCAATGCAAGTTGGATCGCTGTGCACAGCTTGGCATTTGCAGGGTTGAAACCAATGGACCAGCTCCTATAGTGCTCCATGCGTTCAGACTATCCTGACAGATAAACACTACAAATACACTTCAAGTCATGGGACCCAGATTCAAGGTACCAGATTCATCGGGGAGGGTAAGCACGTTGGGCACCGAGAGCGAATTCTCTGTCTCTCTCACTAGTTCTTTCAGAGAGCTGTTCAGTTCTGCCAGCAGATTACTCTTCAGTTCACTGTTTCACAATGAGCTTGACGTGGGAGAGGATGCTGTTTGTATCCAGTTCTCCTGACTGGCCTGAAAGCTTAATCATCTCGAAATGAATCTTGGCAAATTGGGATACGGGATGCTGGTAGCTATGAAGTCAAGGCCTTTGCCCATGCTTCAAGATTGGGACAAGCTGGGAGCAAGGGAAAAGGAGGCTCAGAAAGTTTTCTTCTTGTTTGCAGATGCCAGTCAGGTCCATTGACCTTCTGAATTGGAACCTGCGCCAGGTTGTGCAAGAAAAGCTGGAGAGTATAGTTAATGCCTTCGCTCGCGAGCTTACGAGGGGAAAGGACCGCTCACATGCGAGAATGCATGAAGCGGTTGCAGCCTCAGGTTTGGAATGACATGGAATGACATGCGTCAGGTGTTCATGAAGCTCGGACGAAACGGACGCCTTTTCTACCGTCTTTGTGTGAAGCCAAGCAAGCACTGCAGACAACCACGAGACTTCACCCTCAAATGCCAAGCAGTTGAGATACATGCCTGCTAAGGTACCCTGGACAAACAGCTCACAGCTTTTTCCATGCATATCAAGGGAGCCATTGTAGAGTGCGCCGAACACCATTCTTAGCCATCGTAAGATCTTGAAACTTGCTCATTTGCTGTGCTTTTTGAGGTACCCATTCAGCCATATGCAACATATTAGTTGGAGTCCCGGACAAATATGACAGCTACTTGCAATCAAAGCACTAAGCAAGAGTTGCAGTGAAGCTGTTCTAACTGCTGCTTGAGGCTTTGGCTATGATCTAACCGACTTCACTCATGTGCCAGCTGACCGCTCAGACGGTAGAATGACTAATTGAAATCATGAGTCTCATGAGTTTGACCAAGTTGCACAGACAAAGCCTGCCTCTGAGGTCTCCCTGCCTTCAGATGCTTTGGCAGCTGTGATTGTGATGGACAATCGGTCTGAGACTGAATTGCATGACACGCACCTGGCTATATAAATTATATGTGTGATTGCAAGCACAAAAGCTGCTCATTGTGTCTGCGGATTCTGTTTTCCACTCACTTTACGAGTCAGTGCTGAGGCGCATGAATTTGGTGTTCTCCTCTCCAATGGAACGGGACGAGTTCGTCACCTGCATGCTGGCGCGGGTATACAAATGTGCATTAATGTCCTGCTTGCAACAACTGTTGAATGATCATTTGTTTGCCTCATCAGCGGAAGTCCTTGTCGGGAAAGGACTCACTCCATCCTAGAATGACAGTCATGCTAGGTTCTCAAGGAGCGGCACAGGCGAAACAATTCCTGACGTCCCTGCCTAAGCTTTATGTATGTATATAATAGATACATATATATATATAAATACATATCTAGACCTAAACTTTCGAAAGACATTTCCTGGAGCAATCTCCAGAATGACCTCCCATAGTCTTTGTTCTCTTTGGCATCTTGCAGGACTCTGTTGTGCCAAGCATGAATAGCCTGATGGGCTTTCATTCCGGGGCCTAGTTGCAGCCACTGTTTGGGCTCATAAGGCAAACTTTTGATATTGTTTCTACTCCAGCACTCATATGTATATATTGTATATATACATGTACGCATATAGTTATGTCTATAGTATAAACGGACTTGAACTGAGGAGACATTGTTTTGAAATTGGTCACTACTTGCGCCCAACATCGATGCACAATTATCTGCATAACAAGATCGTTTCACCCAGCTCGCAGTAAAACTGGCCGATGGCATGCCGGTTTGGTGCCTGTGAAGCTTTTCTTTTTCCTTTTTCTGTGTCGATACACATATTTTTGTTTCAGATTGATTTCAGATTGATTTGTCTCAAGAGGAGGACGTTAAGGCAGATGCAACTTGTGAAAGTCTTAGTTGGCAGGCATGTACAACAGTTGATTGTCCAATTCGAGAGAAGCAACAGGTGCGACTATTTCAACTGCTCCTGAGACACTGCAGATCAAGCAAGACAACTGTATGCGTGCTGCCAATGGCTACGTCTCCCGGATTGAATGTACTGGCTGGCAAACATTGATCACAAGGCAAGTGCGAGAACAAACAGGAAAACTTTCAGACTGCAACCATGACACCTGACAGGTTTTCCTCTGTCGGAAATGGGCAGGCTATGAAAGCCGTCGAGTCGAGTCTCGTTTGCTTTTTCCTCTCTGCCCGAAGCAGTCGATTCGTTGCAAGGCTTTGGTGCTTCAAGGTGCCCCACGTGGCGGAACAAAGAGCAATGCTCTTTTTTTTGGGGGACGTAGGAGCTAGAGGTAGCTAGTAGAAGCTAGGGAGTCGCTAGTAGCTTAAGTAGCTACTACCGACAGGACGCAGGATAGCTTACGATTCTTCAAGGAATCTCCCCCTAGATTTTTAGGGAAACTTAATCTATTCCAGCTCTGTTTCAGGTGTGCGGACTGGCCCGAGAAGAGCCAAGAAACTCAAGGCCAAGTGTTGGACTCGTGGACTCGAACTCTTCCGTTCTGTCCTTTCCTGTTCTTCTTAGTCCTTCGCAGTGTTTTCTTGTTTTCTTTGAGGAATGCCAGGACATATGGCATGTTACTTATTCTTCTGTAGTGAATGAGTCTTTTTGCTTTAGATGTTGGGAAGGTCATTTTGTGTATTTGAAGTCAGGTTTGCTTCAAACAAAGGGGGTTGAGTGGTGCAAGGAGTTTCACCATTGTCGTCGTCGTCTTTCTTGTTTTCCTCTGTTGAGCTTTACATTGCGTTTGGTAGAGTTCTGTTGGTGGCGGTCCCAGTGTTGGCAGTCTTGTGAGTTGCTGTCAAGAATAGCACAACCCTTTTTTGGTCAAAAGGAAGTGCTTGAGCCCTCTGGTGCCTACTCTGTTCAGACACGTTCCTCTTCATTTTTGCAAAGCTCCAGAGCATCAAGTGACAGCGAAAAGCATGATAGAGTCCTAGGGCTGCGCAATCATTTTGGCCATGTGTTCACACGCATTTGGCATGAACACACAATCTGAACAAGGCCCTAGAACCCTAGGAGGTTTGTAGGAATTTGCACAGAGGAGACGGTAGCCGCCTCCTGACCAGCATATTTCATCATGCTTTTGTCACAGCAAGAAAGGACATCCACAAGAGTTCAAGAGGCCCTGCAATTTCTATGAAGATAATTTGCGAGGATGAATGGTTGGACGCACGAGAGTTTTCACATAAATTATCTTGCCAACTCTTTGTTTTGTGTTCAAGCCTTCCTTCGATCTTCCTTGCTTTTGCTTCCCTAGGTTGTTTCTGGAGAACTCTAGGAAAGCCATGGTTTCTTTTTGAGCCCAGGCAGTGGAGAACCGGGCTGCCAGGCTTCACTACCGCGAAAAAGTCAAGCAGGCTCCAAGTGCCACACAGCTGTTGCATGTTTGGTCTCAAAGCAAGACATAACATGCAGCTTGAGGACCCATGAGTCTTTGTAAGTGTGTAGAAGTTTGTAGTGGCTTTGGGATACAGACTCTGTGATCAGTACAATATATGGTATTGGTTTCACACTTTTGCAATTGGTTTGTTGTTTGATGAGAGACAGGGCAGTGTTTTGTGAGCTGGTGATGCTGTTACTCGTGCTGTCTCGCTCTTTGTGCCAAAGAGCTGGCATGTTCGAAGATGCCTTTGCAGGTTGTTTTTGCAGCGAAAGCAAATCAGCGGAGTCAAGAAACCTCTCTTCGGTTTCATTTGTTCCGCTGGAACCTAAGAGCTATTGCGCCGGGTTTTCTACTTGAAGTTGACCATAGGTTTTATATGCCCATCTAACTAGTGCATTCATTGACCACTGAAGAAATGCTGGCCTGCTCTGAGGCACTGAACAAAGATTAAGCGAGGCATCAGACTGTCAAACAGCTATATGTATATAAATAGATATTGATATAAATATATATACTACTGACTAGAAACTTAGGACTTGTCGGACATACACGCCAATTCCAAAAGCCTATGTCATCAGGATTGATCCAACATTGGCATTTCCTCTTAAGGCCTATGTCATCAGGCCACAACCATGATATTCATAGAAATATGTATGAGGTATTCAAGGAAGCAGCGCCCGCAAAAACACATAGTCGCACCCTATGTCACCACTGTGTCACCAGGGTGCCAGGCAGTGGTATCTAGCATTATTTAGCTGTTTTTTTTGGCCTTTTTTTGTCGAGGAGGTGTCCACAGGTCCTATGACACCAGGTTTCCCAACCCAGACTTTTTTTTGCTCGATATGTCAGGGCACATGACTTAGCCCTGGGGGTAGCCAGATTGGTATGTCACTTGCATCACGTTGGCCTAAGTCATTAGACAGTAGTATAAGTATATATTACGAAAGCCAGCCGATAGGCTAGGCTTGAGCTTTTCGACCGAACGAAGTGAGTTAAGGGGGTGTGGGGGGGGGTAGGAGGCGAAAAGGCACTGTGAATGTACACCCCAGTTGAGCCTGTTGCCTCGTCTTGCTGTTTCAGGCACAAGGGTTCATTTGAGGTGAAAGGTAGCGTGACTTTTCTGTTCACATTGGTAGCGTTGAGCCGGTTCCGCGCTCCGTGAGCGCGGCTTTTGGGGTAGGGAGCCCTACTTGTGGGACTTTGTGAAGTCCGTGTTGGTCGAGGTTTCCGTGGGTGGCTCTGGGATCTACGTGGTGTGGCGGTGAAGGCACGATGCCATCGCCGAGCGCCGTTGATGGCGCCGATGATGATGATGATGATGAAGAAGAACAAGTTGGAGATCGAGAAGAAGAAGAAGCATCTCAAAGAACCTCTGAACAGTCCTGGGGGCGAAGGGGCTGGTCAGAAGCAGAATGGAGGCAATGGAATAGCTTCTATGCATGGGGTCCTGGACCTAGCGGAGGAGGTGGTTCGACTCAGGGGAATGGGGCCGGGCCGTCTTCTTCGATAGAGGGTTCAGCTGCACCTACTGCACCACAGGTTTCCCAGGGTGATCCTTGGTGGACCTCACAAGGCGGAGACCCATGGATTGGAGGCGACGATCGTCGGCATGGAGGTGGCGGACAAGACAAAATCCAGGTTCTGGAGTACTCGGGAGAAGATGATCGTGATGGGTTGAAAGCCAAAGGGTGCATCCGGAAAGTTGAAGCCTGGAGACGAGTGACCCGACTCTCGAGGGGAAAGCAGGCTCTCATGCTGTACAACAGCTTGTCAGGTGGGCCTGGCGCGATGCTGAGGAGTTGGACCTGTCCCTCTTGGACGCCGACAATGGGGTGGAGATCTTCCTGTCGTGGATCAAGGACAAGTACATGGACTGGGAGGTCACCAAGGTAGGTCGCTACATGTCGGACTTCTTCAAGGCCCTGAAGAAGTCGACCAACCAGGACATCCGCGACTTCAACCAGGAGTTTGACAGGCAGATAAGCCGCTTAAGGGAGGTGGGTTGCACACTCCCTGACACATGCCTAGCTTGGTGGTATGTGGATAAGATGAGGTTGGACAATGCCACTGAGCTGAACCTTCTTTCATCGGTTGGTAACTTGTACAACCTCCAGAAGCTTCAGGACGCAGCAGTCATCCAGGACAGGATGAACAGGCGCCTCTCAAGGCGACAAGATGGTGACAAGAAAGAGAAAAGGGCATCAAGCCCTCATGACCTCCCTGCATGACGAGGCCGACGACGAGCCCGGCCTCTCCGACATCGATGAGGAGGAGTTCTTGGACGATGAGCGCACCCATGAGGCCTTTGTCGCCTTCCGGAATGCCAAGAGCAAGTACCGGGCTGCCTTGAAAGAACGGGGATTCACCCAGTCGAAGCCTTCAGCAGGCAAAAGCTAGAAGCTACTGTTCCGTGTGCCACAAGAAGGGGCATTGGCGCAAGGACCCTGAGTGTCCCGCATCTCATCTGTGTCCTCCAGGTGGTGGAATTTGACCACAAGGGAAGCACAGTGCTACTATGAGAGATGGAAAACATCTTCGCCATTGGAACGAGTTCAAATTGTTCCTAAGCTGCCTGATGAGTTGCTGGACCAATGCTACCAGCGGACCGAGCAGCGTGGTGTGAACCTCTTGTTGAAGGCCATCCCGGCGGATCAGCAGCAAGCTTTGATCACAGCCAGGGAGTTGACCTCGACGGCCTTGCTGTTTCGCTTGTTGGTCAGGTACCAGCCCGGTGGTTCCGGGGAAAAGTCAATCCTGTTGGCCAAGTTGACATCGCTGGACAAGAGTTCAGGTACTTCTGAACTGGCAGCGGCTCTGAGGTCTTGGCGGCGACACTATGCCCGTGCACAGGAGATCGGGGCGATCCTGCCGGATGGGACTTTGTTGTTGAAGGCCCTTGAAACGGCTGTTGCTCAGATTGGGGCTCTGGATGCTCAAGCTGCCTTTCGTTTGGCCCAGAGCAGGCTGCAGTTGGGGATTGACCAACAGCCTTTGCACGATGGTGTGTGGCGCTTTAGCCAATGTCTGCTTGCTGAGGCGGAAACATTGTGTCTCATGGCCACTGCTCCATCGACTACAACCTCAACGCCTGTGAAGGTGAAACAAATGGATGCACGTGGCAAGCCACCTCAAATCACTAGTTCGGTGGAAAAGGGCAAGGGCGCCTCTCTGGCATCCATTCCCTGCAAGTACTTTCGCTCCGAGACGGGGTGCAAAGCAGGCCGCAATTGCAAATGGTCGCACTCCTGGGACGGTATTGAGGACAGGCCTGCTGTACGAAATCAAAGGCACAAGCCCAAGGGTTGAGTCCCTCCATTTTGTAGAGGAGGGACAGATGACATGTCCTGAAGGATCCTTCAGACATATATATATATATGTATACAATTAGATATATATATACAAATAATATATATATATATATATAGTTGTTTTATTTAATGTATAAAAGTCAATAAGTGTACACAGAAGATTGCAGAAGTGTGATGTTTTTATTGACCCTGCATTCCGGGTACAGGCCTCCACGTGGGGCCGGTGAAGGCCTCCACGTGGGACCGGCCAAGGCCTCGACCGGCCAAGGCCTCCACATGCGAAAGCCGCTCGGTGCTGGATTTGTGGTGGAAAAGACCATCGCAAGACAGAGTGCAAGCTGAAGTCTCAGGGGAAGTCTGGCCCCCTGGATCCATCTGTGGAGATGATTCAGTCCATTCAACAGTCCACGGAGATGGTTATGACGTACAAGTTGAAAACTTTGTTCAAGGCTTTGCCGGATGACATCCTGATGAGGATCATTCCGGAGCTTGATGATTTGCAAAGTGTGGATGGCAGTCGTCTCCCTTGGAACAGGCGGAAGCGCCGCAGACTGGAGCGTGCCAAACAGATCGTGCTCCATTTGTTTTCTGGCCCGGACTCCAAGTATTGGGAGAAGGCCATTCAGCAAGGCAGCGTTGAGATGCTTTGCATCGATTTGCAAGCGGAGATCTCCGCGGATTTGCGTGACGACCACATCTACCGGTACCTGCTGTCGCTTGCAGCTTCCGGAAAGGTTAAGGCCATCATTGGTGGCCCGCCTTGCAGAACAGTGTCAGCCCTCTGGTATCAAGAAGATGGTGGACCTGGCATCCTCAGAACAGAAGAATATCCCTATGGATTGCCGACTTTGTCGTCCTCGGAACAGGCCTTGGTCACTGGTGATAGTGTTTTGCTGTTCCGGATGCTGGCTCTGTACATGCTGTGCGCGGATGTCCGTCATGAACAAGAACCTCAAACGGCACTGGCTGTTGAGCAGCCGGAAGATCCAGCTCGTTACCGCCCTGTCGCTGAAGTACAAGAGAAAGGTTTCACGTCGATTTGGCGGACTCAAGAGTGGCAAGCTTTTGCTGATGCATACGACATCACGTTGCTCCACTTTGATCAAGGTCCTATGGGCCATGTGAAGCGGAAGCCAACAACATTGGCGGTGAAGCTTTGTGATGTACAAGCCTTACCCTGAGCATCGAATATTGATTACAATCAATAAACTTCATGGTTTTAGATTGATTTTGATAAGTTTGATATGAATTGATTTTTTCAAAAGTTCTCATATTGAAAAGTTTGATCAGAAATTTGAAAATTATATTGATTTGCCTTTTGAAAAAGGTGGGGTCAGAATCAATATCTGGTATTGATTTTTTTGATTATATTGATTTTTTTGATTTTGCTGATTTGCAGGTTTTTTTGGCTCAAAACACCAAGGGCCAAGCACTGATACCTATAGAAAGATACACAGTACAATACAACTTCCACCTTGAAAAAGGCTCGCCTTTGCACCTTGAAAAAGGTCTCTGGGAAAAAAGACTTGGAAAAAATCACCTTGAAAAAGGTCTCTTGAAAAAGAGACCTTTTCAAAAGCAATGTCTGGCAGAGGAGGTGCCAGGCACCGCCCCAAGCCATACATTGAGACAGGCTTGCTTCACAAAGTGCTGAGCAAGCATGAAGACCTGTGGGTAGATATGAAAGGGTATGAGCTACCCAGCAGAAATTCTGCAGCTGATCTCAGGGCACTGTATAATCTCCTTCCACTGGTGGGGGATTTGCTGGACTTGGAGCCAAGCTGTGAGATCCACCCCCAACCCCTCAGGGCATGTCTGACAAAAATGATCACAGAGAAGCCTGAACTGAACAACAGCAAGTTCAAAGGCTCTGTGTATGTCAACCTGAGGGCTGAGAGAATTGGAGTTCTCCTTTCCCATGTAAGGAGATTGTCCAGGGGTGGTGGGGTGCAAGCATGTGTTTCCAACCTCACAGGGTTGGAATACAGCTTGCTCCAGGACACCTTGAAAAAGGTTGTCACACTGCCCACACAAGCCCTCAGCCCTTCCTTGAAAAAGGAAAAGCCCAGCAAGGGGTCCTTGAAAAAGGATGGTGGTGGAAGCCCTTTGAAAAAAGGTGCAATAGTTCCCTTGAAAAAGGAAACTATG